ACTGTTGCTCATTATTGTCTGTAACAAAAGGTATAAATGCTTGCTGTAATTGTTTACCTGTTGAGAGACCTGTTTTAGATCTCTCCCTCTATGCAATTGCTTGAGAAAATAAAGTATCTGACTTACTGTACCCAAACAAAAAGTGAGAACTCTGTTATTCTCCGACATTACTTATCTCATGGCCTCAACTATTTCTTGTGGCAATGAGTTCCTCAGTCTAATTAGGCATTGAGTTCAGAGAGCATTCTTTTTTATCAGTTTTAAATTTGTCACGTTTCATTGTAATTGAGTGTCCTCTTGACTTTGTGTTATGAGACAGGGAGAACACATTCGCGATCTACTCTCTACCAGTCATTATTTTATAGACCTTTCTCATATCCCCTCTTATTCATCTCCTTTCTCAGGTAACAATCCCAGTCTTTTCAACAACAAAAAAACCAAACAAACAGGACTACTAGTGGCACCTTAGAGACTAAAAAATTTATTTGAGCATAAGCTTTCATGTTTTTTGATTTTTTTTTTTTTTGCGGATACAGACTAACACGGCTGATACTCTAAAACCAGTCTTTTCAACCTCTCTCCGTATGAGATTTTCCCTGGGCCCTTGATCATTCTCGTTGCCCTTCCCTGAACTCCTCTAGTTCTGCAATATTCTTTGTGAGAAGGGTGCCCAGTACAACACAGAGGAGTGCAGAGAAGGATGAATCATTGATTGACTGATCCTATGACATTGTATTTTTTGTATGATTCCTCATCCTACTCTTCCTGGATCCCAATGTTTTGCTTAGTTTCTGTCCATGCTTGCACTGTGAGCAGGGTTTCACAGAGCTACAGACCGTGATGCCCAGGTTCCTGCCCTGAGTTCAAACAGTGAAATTAGAACCTTGTTAGGTGTTTGAGGAACTTTGGCATCAATAAATACATCATGTATGCCCATTGGAGGAAAAAACTTGAAATCATCCACCATCATGCTGCCCATTCACCTGACTTGATTAGCTCCCTCTGAGAGCTTCTCTGGACTTCGCTTTGACCTAAATCATCTAGTGCCATCTGTAAATGTTGCCACCTCACTGCTCACCCCCCTTTCTAGAGTGTTAATAACTATAAAATGTTTACTGTACTATTTGATATAAAGTGTATAACCCCCTATGATGTTTTGCACCCCCCCTTCTGGGATGCAATCTGGTATACTGGGGTTTCATTGAGCCCCTACTGCTATGCCAACCTGAATTCCCTCCCCCTTGTGGGAATTAGGATCTCTGGCAACTTGCAACACACACATAGACGTAGGGCCACACCCAGCTGTAGACAGAGACTGAAGTCATCTCTGTGTGAGAGGATTCACCCAGCACTCACATGCTCACACCTTTGGGGGAATAAACCCAAATTAATACTGTCCTGCACTGTGTAGAAAGATCTGCACAGCGCAAACTCATAAAAATTCACCTCAATGTGAAGTGAGATATGCCCCTCCCCGAAAGAAATTGC